CTCAGAAACATCAGCGGCTCATGGTCTTGCGCGTCCAATTCACGATCCACCTGATCGTGAGGAATTTGAGTCACGACGCCGCCCCAATGCAAATCGCTGGCGTCGGCGAACACACAAATAAGCCGCTCCAGCTTTGGATGGGCGAGGGTCACCACACGGCCCAGGGCATCCTTGCAACTTGTGAGGCACGCTACATGCTCAGCGTTCCATCCCACGTCGGCCAACACAACTTTGGCCACCTTCTGTCGAGTGCGTCCACCAGCCGCCTTGTACACCGACTCCAGCAGATCGGTAATCGGCTATACAATGAAATTGCACTTCGGGACTCCAGCAGATCGGTAATCGGCTGTGCAATGACATTGCACTTCGGGATCGACATGCGCATCCAATTCATGGCGCATATGAATTGCTGCAGATCTTGTCCGGTCACCGGCATCTTCAGATCTTGCAGCGCCTTGATGCGTTCCGGGTCGTGCTTGACTCCTTCGGACGACAACACCAGCGCGCTTCGGTTTCAAAGAACCGACATTTCTTCGGGTTCAGCTTGAGTCCGCGCGACTCAGAGATGGCCAGGACGCGTTCGAGCGCGGCCAACAACCCCTCCTTGGACATTTCTTGAACCGACGATTGGCAGTACGCCACGCTGTCGGTACCCCCCGTGAGCACGCGCGTCGACGTGTACACGCCAGTGTCGGTCAGGAACGAAAACATTTCTTGCGACGCTTCGTCCAGCGCAAACTGCCAATAACCCTTGAAAAAGTCGAGGGTAAAGAACACACTGGCACCTGCGAGGTGATCCAAAATCACCTCCAACATCGGCATCGGCCAAATGATGCGCTCCGTCTGTGCGTTCACTGGACGGACGTCCACAGTCATGCGAAAATCGTTCGCTTCGGGCTTCTTGACGATTAATGGTGCCGAGCACCATTGTGACCGGGGGTTGCGGAAACATAACCCCGCCGCCTGTAGCTCTGCAACGTGCTTTGCCATAAAGTCCCGCTGCTCCTTCGAATAGCGGCACGCCTTGCACCGCACCCGTTCAGCGCCAGCCTTGAGCGTCACACGTAGCGGCACCACGTCCACCGGCGGATCTCGGCCCAACGAAAGCCGAAACACGTCTTCGTAGCGCAATAACAGCGCCCACAGCGCCGCAGCGAAATCCTCGCCGCATCCCGCGGCACGACACTCTCTGACCTTGTCCTTCAGCTTCGCGCGCACCACAGCTTGGTCGTTTTCTTTCGACCAAT